ATCACTAAGGATGGATAGTTAAGCAGGTTGTCATTAGATTCCTTGTCAGCAGCAGTTAATAGAAGTTAATAGAAGGAAAACAAGAAACAATGTCTACTAAATTCACAAGGCAATAAAGTATGCAGCAAATGTATTTACCTAGGCTGCCCACGTGTCAAGGCTACAGAAAAAACAGTGTTGAATATACAGGAGCTCAGATAACACTTAATCCATGAACCTATCCTAAAGACACTTAAGCTTTATCTAAGTTATGTTTGGGGAAACTTAGACAAAAAAGACTGATGTACACATTGTGAATGTATGTCACTATAAATTTAAGACCAAAACACAAGTGAGAAATATAAACACATTACATACTTGACAATTTAGAAATACTACCACCAAACAAAATGGAATGAGAAGAGGAGAAAATGAAAAATAAGTCAATTGAGTGACTTGTTGACAATAGATGGCAATCAAATGCTATAATTAATCTAACAAGCTGAATGGGAGAAAATTAAGGATATCTAAGAGCACTAAGAGATACATTATTGAGTAACATCGTATGGTGAGAAGAAGAGACAAAGTCTTATAATCTTATTTTATTCTTGTTCAAAATACAGTGCCTGTGCAGGAAAGAGAAGGGTAAAGGCATTATATATAATTTTCTAAGACTCCAATCTGTAAATTCTACAAGCTGTAATTATAGATGACATTTGATAAACTATTTCTTCTTATTAAAGTAACCACTACAAAACAATACAAATTTTACCAAATACCAAAATGAATGCAAAAATAGAATGAAACAACCTAAAACAGTGAAAAGAAAGCAAAACATTCTTAAATAATTTTAGTATATTTAACATAGAATATGTTAGTACCAAGAAAAATCAATTTAATCAGCAGGTATACATACCTACTAGGGTTGTTACCAGTTAATACAGAAGTTTTATTTTCTTATAAGTACCAAAGAAAAATCTAATTTCACCTCATATAAAAAGGCACAACTAAAATAAATACTAAAAGGGAGGTTAAAAACATGGCAACAAAATGAGAAATAGAGTCATGATTTAAGATGCAGTAGATGGTGTTGGAAAATTATTAAACAAAACAAACAAGGCATCCTCTTATCTCTTCATACCATAATAATATAAGTCATTCATATGCATATTAATGAAATTTGAATATGTAAGAATAAATAACAACTGCATCAATATTCCCAAAACAGAAATCACAAGAGATAATGACTAATGACGAAAGGAAGAGAAATACCTTAAAAATAGAAGAATTTAATAAAGTTTCTAAAAATCTAAGAAATATATGGAAGAAAGAATGTAAGTAAGGATATAAAAGTCAACATCTTGAGAAGGTAGAGTTTTAAATAGTAGACACCAACTTTTGTACTTAAACATTTGCTAATTGCTCCCTCATTTCACTTCTATATGAAACATTCATGAAAATTGGTCAAATAATGAACCATGAAGAAAGCCTTAGAAAATTACAATGGAGAAATAATAAACATACATCTCATGAATTTAGGAAAAAAATTTAAGAAAGTAAACTTAGAAGTTATTAACAAAAATAATACTACTTAAAACATATCTTTCCTACTGGAAAGTTGAAAATTCTTCATTAGAATAGCTCCTAAGTTAAAAATTATGAAATAATGGAAATAAGAGTTTCCAGTTTAGGATAAAAAACACTGAAAAATGCTACATATCTGAATTTGTAAGGCATAGTTTAAGTGACCTTAAATCAAAATCAAAAATTGAAAGAATGAAAATAAATCAAGACAGTAGAAAAGAGGCAACAAAGTAAGCTAATAAAACTTAATAAAGATAAAAATAAAATTTTGTAGGAGTTAAAAAACTAATATAATTGAGTTCTTTGGAAAGAAAATCAATAATAACAATTTTTATTTTTTTGAATTTATTTTTTATTGTTGTGCTTGGTGGGGGTACTTTGTGGCATTCACAAAAGTTCTTATAATATATCAAATGTATCATACTTGAATTCACCCCCTCCACCATTCTCCTTTATCTCTCCCACCCTCCATTCCAGGAACAGTTTCAACAGGTCTCATTTTTCCACTTGCATGCACATGTACACAGTATTTACACCATACTCACCTCCTTCATGATTTCCCCCACTTCTCCCCGTTCCCACTGGTACCAACCCCTCCAAGCAGGACCTGTTCCACCCTCCTGTTCTCTGACTTTATAAAAGAAAAAAAGTGATGTTTTTGTTCATTTAAGATAGCTACATAGGGAGTTTCCTTATGACATTTTCATGTACACAAGAATGAATATAGAATTTTTAAACCTGTTGAAACCATCATAAGAAGAGGCAAAGGATAAATAGAAGAGATGAACCAATTCGGGTATTAATAGATATAAATATGGTAATAAAATTTTTAAATGGTGAAAATAGCAATTAAAAAATGAGATTTCAAGAAGGAAATAACTAGGAACAGAAGCTAATTGAAAATATTATCAAAGATGACTGCACAATTACATAAACATATGAAGCAAATAATTCTAGAGAAATAAAAATCAGCAAAACTAACATTAGTTAAGATTGATAGACTAATCTATACAGGGAAAGAAATTCGTCAGAGATCCATGCCATGAATGAGTATCAGGCCTAGATGATTTCAGAGGGGAATCACACCTGACATTTAAAGTCTAGATAATCCCAGCCTATTTACATAATTTCTGATCATAGAAAATAAATCTCTTTAATATTGATACAAAATCCTAAGTTAATATTGCAGCATATTACAAGATGAAACATATCATGTCCAAAAATGGCCACTTCTAAAGATGAATGAATGATTCTATTTTATTAGCTTCATTTGTAAAGTACCATAAAAAGAAATAAGAGTGCACTGATTTCCACAGATGTTGGAAAATATTTTATAAAATTAAGCACCCCATTCTTTATAAGTAGGTCAATGGGAACTTTCTTAAGTTATAAAATATATTCAATGCAATCCACATACATAATTTGAATGAGTGGGGAATACCAGTGATATTTCCAAACATCATGAAGAAACATGAGGATGCTCGCCATTGTTTTCTTTCTAATGATTCATTGGATATAAAAAGTCAGCACATTTCAATAAGAGAAAACAGATACACAAGAGTGGGAAACAAAAATTTTAAACAATCTGTATTTCATGTTACAGAATACTTTAAAAACTTATGAGGGTCAGAAGACAAGCAACTGCAAACTAACAAAATTCACTAAGAGGGGTAATAAAACCAACAAAGAGAAAAGTATGAGTTGCCATCATATACACAAGAAAATCTGAAGATAAAAGGAAAGAGAAGACCCATTTCTAATAGAAGCAACAACTGTAACAGAAATTTTAAATGCCAAGGAGCATATGGGAAAAAATTTAAATGCTCCAGAAGATACAACACTTTGACTTAAAAAATGAGTAAAATGACTCAATGTAATAATGAAACAATTTATCCCTAACTTAATTTATAAAGTTAATATGGATCCAATGAAAATATGAAAAAGTTCTTGCTATGAATCTAGACAAAGTTTTTCTAAAGTTCATATGGAAAATTAACCAAGTGTTAACTCCAAACCTTGAAAAACTAATATCAATAAGTAAGGGAATATACTATCTCAATATTAATTGTATTTGTGAAAGTGTGATTCTGAAGATAAATAACCATCAGAATAAGAGAAAAAGTCCAGAAGCAGATGAAAGCATATAAGGAAGTTTAGTACATGACAAATGTGGCATCTTCAACTACTGGTAAGAAGTCAGACTTTTTAATAAATTATGATAGAGCAAGTGGAGAGCCACTGGTAACAAAATAAATGCATACCTTTACATTATACATCAAAATAAACTTTAAATGGATCGGAAATTTAAAAAAAATATAAAATCATACAAGTTTCAAGAGAAAAAGTGAATTTGTTTATAACCTTTGAGTGGTGAAAATTTTTCTAATTATGACTCAAAAATTCACAAGTAAATAGCCCTATGACAAAAAAAACACATTTTTGCATAACAAAGTTATAAAAAGGTAAAAGGCATCTTCTGGAGAAGTTATTTTGCAACTAATTTTACAAATTGAAGTAAAATATAAAAATAATAGAAAATGTATAGAAGAAATGAGCAGTTGTCTAAAACAGGAATGTCCGTGGTGCATATTTTACACATATGAACCTCACTTATAAGAAGAAACAAATACACTAAAAATAATTGAGGTACTACTTCTCACCTATCATAATGACAAAAATTAAGAAGACTGATTCTGACTCACTGTTGTCTCTGCTCTTGGGAACAAGGCAGACACATTGCTGGTACTAGTGTAAAATGGTTCAAACAACTTCAAGAGAAATTTGGAAGTGTCTGAAAAGAATGCAATGGCCTTTACCCTTCAACATGGAAATCCCTTGTATAGACCATGATGAAAATTTTGTATATATGTACACACATATGTTGCATGTATACATAAAAATATATACACATATATTTACATGAAAATACATATGCACAATTTCTTTTGACTTTTTTTTCTGGCACTTGTGTTTGAACTCAGGGCCTTGTGCTTGCTAGGCAAGTACTCTATCACTTGAGTCACACTTCCAGCCCTTTTATTGTTATTTGGTTTTCAGGTAGTGTCTCATATTTTATGCCTGGGGCCAACCTCAGACTACTGTGTTCCTATGTACGGTCTCCTTTGGAATATAGGTGTGAACCACTATGCCTAGCCTCTAACATTATTTCTAATAGCTGAAGTTTGGAAAGAGCTCAAGTGTCCATCAGTAAAAGACTGGGTAAATAAACTATTGTATATTCAAGTCATATAAGTTCCAAAGCACCTGATCAGTTCTGCAAGGCACCAAAGACCAACATTAGCTATGGATTTCTTATGTAAAACTATGTTATTTTAATTGTAAACTTATTTTGAGAACTGAATGAGAAGGAAGAGTGCATTCAAATTAGGGGAGTAGCAGAACACTGAGAACTTTACATACAGGTTGCATTTACTTACGATTTACAGTTTTGACTGGTAATATTGGGTTTGCCCTCTCCGGGGAGGCAGCATTTTCTTCATCTGTCACATATTCAAAATTAATGATGAACATCATAGCCACACCCTCTTGGTTTTTCACAGGAATTATGTGTGTGTTACAAATGAAAGTGGACCCTAAGGAGATGAAAAATGAATATTAGATAAAAAAATATGCCTTCACTTTAAATGAACAATAAAATTTTCTACTAAATTTTAATTTAATTTAATTTTCAATTAAAATTGAAAATATACTTCCACAGAATTTTCTTTTTTCTTTTTAAGAGTCATTAATACTACATTTTAATTTCACAATGAAATTTTCATTGTGAAAATGCAGATTTAAACAAGATCACTCCCTCTACTATATTTCCTTAACCATCATTAAAAGATAATAGTTGGGTTTCATTATGCTATCTCCATGTATACATATATGTGTGTGTACAAAACACTTTGAAATTCTTCACCCCCCAGTACCTTGCCTTCACCCTCACTCTCCCACTGATTCCCCTTTGATAATCCCCCTTTTATACTGATGTCCGATTATTATTGCTATTATTATTATTTTAAACCTAGTTGCAGAATTTTCTGTCTTAAATGACCCCTGAAATTCAATGAAAATAATCTAATTTTTTACTTTCACATTTTATTGCATACATATTTACTTTATGTAGGTTTACAGGCTATAGAAGTTACTACATTGTGGAAAAACAGAGTATCAAGTCCTAGTAGCATTAACACCCATTCCTATAACAGTTAATATAGCTTTTGGTCTTTACTTATATATTGATATTAAATCTGAATCTATAAAAAACATGCCTGCATAAACAATGAAGATAACTCATTTTATATCATCTTGATGTTGGCATTCAGCAAATTAAGTCTTTTTTCTCACATAATTTATTTGACATAAAATAGTACATTATTGACTAGGTTACATAGTTTCCAATAATGGTGGAAAATATATGCCCAATAATGGTAACAAAATAAGACAATAATTGTCTACATATTATTGAGTTAATTTGTTCCTTATTGCCATCAACTACCACCATTGATCTACCAACATAACCCCCTCCAAGATCCATGATGTATGGAACAGAGTTGAGGAGCTGACTTCTTGTAAATCAACTGACTTCTTGTAGCTGACTTTTAGTAGCCCCTCAGAGCACTTTCCTCACATCTTTACCTTCAGAATATTTATTTTCTCAATTCATATTGATAACAATCTTATGAGGTAGGGATTTGTTTGGGTTTAAAAGTATTGTAAAGGAAAAAACTTCATGAAAGGTTCTTGATCTCTCATTAAATATATTTATTTTAACTGCTTTCCTTATTTAAAGATTAGCCGAAATCATCTTGAATATCGAGGACAGTGATGTTTTAATGTAGAGGCAGGAATAGGTTGGGGCAAGGCTGGACCGGCATAAAACTTCAGAGGGAGTTAAGAGACAGTGCTTGGATACTTAGAGACTGGAGTCAGATACATTTACAGATCACTGAAAGATGTAGCTGGGAGCCCCAACATCAACAAAAGCCAGGAGAGGATAGTATTCCAAAATGACATCCTACATAAATCTGGTTACAAACAAAACAAGTACAGGATGAAATGATTCTTCCCTTCCTTCTGAATCCTGCATCATGGTTCCTACTGCCAGGGCTTAAAACAAAGGCTATTCCTGATACGGCTATAGATCAAAGATGCCACAAACTAGGGCTTTCCAGGGTGAGCCTGAAGATCCAATTACTATTTATAAATCTTTCAGTGAGCATATGTGTTAAAATTTCCAAATAATTCATTTTACAAATACAATTTTAGAATACAGACTCTTTGTAACCAGGGAATGCCTATGTGGTAGTTATAATTTAGATTTTAAGATATGAATAGCCTCCCAAATTTGAAACAGAGGGCCTTATGACTAATTTAATATTTTGTGTGACGTGGCCCAAGTTTTACAGATTTGGAAAACATGCCTTAAGAATGATATGCTGTACCTTCAGTTTTCAGCTATATCTTTAATTCATTTAATAAAGTAGTTAGCTAGAGCACTTGTCACAGTTTCCATGGTAACAAACAGGCCAACTTTAGTAAACATAAAATAAGCAATTTAAGAGTGTTCCATTAGAACTAAATATAGAAGTGCTTCAGACCAGACATCAGAATACACACTGGTTAAACAGAGACTCTGAAGAGATGTGAGAAATAGCCATGATGTACTTTCCTAATGAACCAAAATACGTATCGATTTTATCATTTAAAATGACATTTCCTGGATCATTTATAATATCATTGTGAATTCACATGTTTGTTACTTAACAGTTCCAAATCTTTCAACATTTGGGTATACTGCTAATTCTAAAGTGAAACATAAAACAGATTTTTTGGCTATCAATAAGTAAAAGATGTAAAGATAGAGAACTAATAGGTTTGTGATAGAACCAAGTAATTTTACTTTCGATAATAAAAAGAAAAATCATGTTTTTCTATACAAATGCTTGAATATTTACTGTCTATTACTGAAAATCATAAAATTATACTGCTTCAGAAAAATGGCTCGATGCATGTATGCATTGGCTCCATAGCTTATTGACTAAGTGTAATTAATCTGGGATTTACTGTCTTCTATCATTGTTTCCTGTTTATTTCTATGAAGCAACACACAATCAAATGATTCACATTTACATGTTTTTCACTTTTAGTTTTGGGATTTAATATCTCCATCCATCTTGCATAGCCTCTTGGATAAAGGACAATGGAAGGAGATATATGGAAAAAATATATTAACTTGCATAATTCTATAGCTTCCAAGTTCTGCCAAGATATTATTTTTGCAAAGTGACATTTCCCAAAGAAGCTACCACCATGTGATCTTAAATATTTTTTCCCAAATGAAACACTGGGAGCAAAAGCAATAGAAATATAACCCAGGAAACACTAATCCCTCCAGGAAGGCATAAAATAGGCATATTTGATAGTTTAAAGAGCAGAGTTAAACAAATAAAAAAGTTTAACCTTGTTAAAATGCATCTTGTATTTAAATAAAATTAATTGCGTTTAAGAAGCAGAATAGTTGCAATAATGTATGCTTTATTTATAAAGTTACACATAAAATTTTACTATGTTAATATTATTTACACTCAGGTTTATTGCATATTTTCCCTCCTGAATGAAAACTTTCCTAAAGAACAAAAGGCTTTTTAAGGAGAAACAGTGCCCATTTTAGCAAAATTTCTAGAATAATAAATTTTTAACTGTTACCATTGTAGAAGAACACTAGAGTAATCTGGGTAATTATGAAAATTATCTGTTTATTAAATAAATGGCATATTCCTAGCAGCATTTTAAAATAAAAGGTTTTGACTTCATGTGTTCACGGGTCATCCTGTGCCCTCAAGGAACACAGAAGGTGTGACAAAAGCAGTGTGGTTGTTGTGAGGTAGGGAGAATAGGTAAGGTCAAGGAGCCACCCAATGTAGAAAGCTAACGTGTGGATCTGGAAATTTTCTCTCAGACAGACAGGCACTGTAGTATTTTATGCAAAAGTTGGCATCATTCTACTTAAAACTATCCCTCTGTGTTTGTAAAGAATGTCTTCCTGGGGTGGTTGAGTGGCTCAAGTTGTAGAGCACCTGCCACGCAAGCATGAGTTCCTGAGTTCAAACCCCACTACCACCAAAAAAAAAAAAAAAAAGAATAGCTTTCTCTGTAGGGAAAGGCACTTATGTTACAATAGGATTGGCAAGCAATTCTAGTGGTTTGTATTTGGGTGGTGCAAATGCAAGTGGTGAGGAGGGGACTGTATATCTGTATGAAATGTGTTGAAGGTAGAACTGATAGAAGTCACTGAAAGATTCAATAAGAGGCCAGAGGATTAGGGCAATCTTAGTCCACAATTAGTTGTTGAAGAAATGAAAGAATAGACATGCCATATCTTAACATGTGAAGAGTGTGGGAAGAGGTGGCCTTGGAGATTGTGGGTATTCATAAGTTTTGAGTACTATAACTTTGAAATTGCATATTAGGTATATAAGTGGGTATGACAAGAAGACAGTTGAATACAGGAAACTATACTTCAGTTCAGTTCAGAGGTTAGTCTAAGCCAGAGTTGTGAATTTGGAGTCATTAGGGAATGGATTAGATTTCAGTGCTTGATAAGGTGGCCTGGGCAATATAGATTGAGCAGTATGGGACCTGATCCCAGAGGTACTATTGGATCAAAGAGACAATAAATAAAAATCTGCAAAGACTGTGGAGGAGCAGACAGTGAGGTGGGAGAAAAATCAAGACTGTGAGGTATCAATGGTTAAGACAGAGAAGTATTCCAAGAGAAGGGCATCATCAACTGGATAAACCTTGCTGACAGGCACTACAAGAACCAGGCAAACACAACGGAACCACGGGTAACTTTCTCAAGAGATATTTGGGTGGAATAGCGACTATAACACTTTTTGGAATGCTTTCAAGAGTGAATGAGACTATTGGAAGTAGATATATTTATAGAAAATTGGAAATGTCCTATTAGATAAATTAATTGAAACATGGGATGGTAGCTGAGGTAGTTGAAAAAGATTTTAAAGGTATGGGATCTTATTTTCTAGGTTAGAGACATTGTAGTATATTTATATACTTACATAAAAGAGATTAAATTATTTCCATAAAGTCTCGCTATTAGCAAGACTCAAGAAATGTTTAATTTCATATCAAGACATAGTAATTTTCTCCTTTTTGCTCCTGAAGTGCAATTCACTTCAGTGTTAACTAATTTTCCATATACATAGTGTTTGTACAAAATACAGTATACAGAGCACCAGTCTTCCAATCAGACTGAATCTGAATCCTGGTTCCATTCTTTACCTGCTGAGAAAACTTCTAGTTATTTGCTACATGGAAAAACCCCTTCGTGAATTCATCTGCATGCTGAAGATAATTTTTATTTCATAGAATTCTTCTGGAAATCAAATAAGTTAATGCTTGTGAGGCAGGGTATTAGAATCATTCTCCTTTTTCACCAATGTGCTAATACAATAGATATAGGAAACTACAGTAAGAATGACCTCCTTTCACCCCACATGCGCAGATTTACACTGGAGAGCAATAGAACCATTCCATAAAAGATGTAAAATTGCCTGGGTGTGGAGAG